AAGTGCACTCAATTAGGGGTCAAGTGTTGAATGCATACGAAGTGTGCCATCGATTCACTCACTGAAGCCAATCATCGCTCAAATGTCACTCAATTAGCTGTCATTCACTGCATTCACGCCTTTCGACGACAAATACATTTCAAAACAATACACAAAACATGTTTGCATTTCACAGCCAATCAAATGCTTGTCATTTCTTGTGTAAATATTTATTTCCATTCATTAATAACGAGTCCATATATAATATATATTTTATATTCATTTGTATAGAAATCATGTGAATGGGGGCTATTTTATTTGGTTTAACCATAACGTTATTTATGACACACTTCTAAACAATTGAGTGAATGTGTTGTCTGTCGTGAAGATTGTGTTTGTGATGAGATTCACGTGATTTGAAGACTTGATTACAATTTTGATGATAAGACAAACCAAACCATAGATTGTGTGGTGTTTTCGTGATATGTATTGACTGTAATCTGAGATATGGTTTGCGATAAGTGTCAGAAAAAATTGGGTAAATATTTGTCACTATTTTGTTGATTTTCTTCATTTGAATGTCTGTCTAATTGGATGACTATTTTGATGATAATCTTCAGGTAAAGTGATAACTCCGGACACCTGGAAGTCTGGCGCGAGAAACACAACGGAGAGCGGCGGCCGATCTATCAATGAGAACAAGGCGTTGACGGCGAAGAAGAGTCGCTTCACTCCCTATCAGAAGATGGAGACCTGCAAGATATGCAGACAGAAAGTCCATCAAATCGGCTCTCATTACTGTCAATGTAAGCCATAGATATCATATATACATCCCTTTCCCCTGCCTTTCCACTCACTGACCAACTCAAGGACAGTTGGCATGAGTTGAAAGTGCACTCACAGTCCTGTGATGTCTTATACATTGTTTAATGCATTGAATGTATTGTCTGTTTGCATGTATAGCGTGCGCCTATAAGAAAGGCATTTGTGCGATGTGTGGCACCAAAATAGTGGACACCAAGAACTACGCCCAGAGCTCTGTCTAACACCACAACACCATTGCCGCAGATATTTGTGTTCATCGCCAGAAGATTTGTTAATTTATTGTCTCATTTGACC